ATCTAGTCATAGAACAAGAATGATAACACCCCTTTCTATGTTCATAAATGATTAAGAAGGGGGTTTCAACTTCATTTCACCTAAAATTCTTTGTTTTGCTTCCAAAATACTCCATGAAAAAAAGAAAAAAAAAGCATCACTTATCAACATCAAATCCCGTGGGTCACCCAAGTAATCCGATCGAACAACCCTCAACACTTATGGTCATTGAGTAAGGAATTGAAACACATAGGTTGGAACACTTGAGAGATAGGATATGTAAGGGGGAAAGAAAAGCTAATCTAATTATTTAATTTGTGAATGGATGGCTAAAACTAGTTCCAATCACATCCACAAGGATCCAAAATACATAACAACTATGAATTTAAAGCTAAGGAAAGCAATAAGGTAAGGAAATGACTATTAACTCAATGGATGGATGGCTAAGGCTACTCTCTCCACATCCACGTGGATGTACAACAATCACAAAATTGCAAATGGAGTTAGAACTAAAGAAAAAGTAGGAGTTAGAACTAAAGAAAAAGTAGGAAGAAGATGATCAAAGAAGCAAAGGATTCACCTCTTAATGAGGATGAGTTCCTTTTTGTTCACAAACTCCCTTTTAAGATCCCTCAAGAGCTTTTAAGTGTGTTATTTTATATCCAAAGTCCTTTGTCCAGAGCTTAGGATCAAGCTTTAATGGAGGATTTAAATGTGAAAGTGGTAGGTAGGAGATAAGAGAAGAAGAAGGGAGAGCTCCCAAGCTTTGCTATGCCTTGGGCAAGTTTTTTAACCATTTGAAATGAGTTGGTGAGCTCTATACATAGAGCTCAGGTCATAAATTTCTAAGATATTTGTGGTAGGTAAGCAAAACAAGCTAAAATTCTTAAAAATGCTTTGTACTCGGAACATTTAGTTGGCTGAGCTTCTTGGTGATTGGCCTAGTGCTTTTGTAGCCGGTTATCATATGGTGTCTAGCCAGCCAGTGGGCACATCGTTCGATCAACTAGAGTAGGTTAGCCTAAATTGAAGGGAGAAACATGTATTTCAAAGAATTTCATCCTTCCCATTTGCTTCCATTATATTCTTTGCTTAGTTTTTTTTGAAAGAATACAACGCTTTGATTTTGAAAATATGAGCCTCGGAATATTATAGTAACATCTGGAGTTGCACTACTAAAACTCATTTTGAAAGAGCTTTTCATTTTGGTCGAAAACATTTTGTCTAAAATGGGCACTGGATGGTTTAAAGCTTGATCTTTAGACTTCTTGCCGTAGAGCTTGCAAAGATTAACACCTCTCCTTTTTATCATCGAGAACTCAGAAGGAAGCACCCAAGTCTCAAGGCTAGTAAAAAATGGAGTGTCTACAGGTGGTGGTGGAAGTGTCTATTTCACTAGCCTAATATCCAGACGGCTAACCCAATAGGTGCATTCCTCTACATAACTCAAACTAACCACCTATGATTTAAGGATAGTACTGGAAGCATCTAAATAACTGGTCTAATACCTAAGAGGCTAGCTTAATTAGCGCAATTTCCACAATGATGACAATGTCTCTCAGCAAGTAAAATACAATTTTAACGATACAAGTAAGCATGGTGATACATATATTGCTTGGTAAAAAAAATAATAATAATTATCAAATGCAATGTATATATGACACAAACAAGAAAGGTTTTTTGATGTCCTGTAAAAGAATCACACATGGGTAAGCAAAGTTTGCAAAATACATGGCTAGAGATTATGCAGCATGCATTAAGTGTACACAGATGTTGATCAAGGTACATATCAAATAGTAAGGATGACTAGACCTGCTACTTCATATGCGGCAAAGTGGATTGGTCATGTCTTGCCTCTACACACCATCCTCAAAAAGCTACAAGAAGGCAAGCAGAAAGATGGACTAAATATAGAGAGGTTGCTGCCGCCTTTAAACAAGAAACCCTAGCAAAGAATTAGTATTGTTGTATAAAAGAGTTGACTACTATTGCTTTAGAAAGCAAAGAATTAGAGAATATATATATATATATATATACTTGTGGACATTATTCCCAAGTGACAAAATCAAGCATTGATTTTGAGTCAGAGAATAATATATGAAAAGAAAGAAAAGATCTTTGCCTTTTGGAGAATTGTCAAACAAGAGGCATTAACATGGGAATTCTTTGCACTGAGTCACATGGAGCAGCAAGTCAATCATGTTGGGTGTTTTGGAAGCAAATGTGTGTTTAAACTACAAAGGAATCAATCTAAAATACACAAAATCTGATCTTATTTTTTCTGCAAAAAAATAGAGAAGAAAAAGAGCCAAAACAGGGAAGAAGAGGGGTCAAAACTGAACAACCCCTTTTGCACATTTTTCTATTAACTTTTTAGCTTCCCTTACAAGCTTTATATATGAAATTATATCAACCCAAGTACTAATAAAACATCTGGACAAATTTCCACATACATTAACTCTAATTAACATGACCCAAACCAAAACATAACTAGAACTAAATAAGCATAAGTGATTGTTTGGATACAAAATTAAACAAGCACATTATATCAACATTGCTCCCCCCTAATGTGCTGCTCCATAACTCCAAGTAACTCTCTGAAATGCTAGAACTTTTCTTTGGGAAGAGCCTTAATGAATATATCTGTAATTTGTTCATCTGACCTGCAAAATTTGAGCTGCACTTCACCTTCTTCAATTGCTTCCCGAATAAAGTGATGTTTAATTGCAATATGATGAGTGCGATTGTGAAAAACAGGATTCTTAGCCATGACAATGGCTGATTTGTTGTCACAAAAATTTTTTGTACCATCTTTTTGCCTTTTGCAAACATCTTCAAGTATTCTTCTCAACCAAATTGCTTGGGAAGTTGACGAACCTGCTGAAACATATTCAGCTTCTGCAGATGATTGCGCCACACTCTGTTGCTTCATTGATGCCCAAAAAAATACTCCAGAACCCAAGGCAAATGCATACCCAGAGGTGCTTTTCGTATCATTAGTGCAGCTACCCCAATCACTATCACTAAAACTAAACAATTTCACAGTTGAATCTTTGCAATACTTGATACCATAGCTGGTTGTGCCTTGAATATATCTCAAAACTCGTTTTGCAGCACCAAGATGCTTTTGGCTGGGATTATTCATAAATCTAGAAAGCAAACTTGCAGCATACATTATATCCGGCCGTGTAGCTGTAAGATACAACAAATTTCCAACCAAGCTTCTATACAACGAAACATCAACTTTTTTCTCTCCATCTTCCTTTATAAGTTTTTCATTCACAACTAGTGGTGTGGCCATGGGCTTACAGCCACTCGTGCCAAATTTCATTAAAATATTTTTAGCATATTTCTTTTGAGAAATAAATACTCCATCTTCAACTTGTTAGATTTCAATTCCAAGAAAATGATTCAACAAACCCATGTCACTCATTTCATATTTTCTCATCATGTCATTTCTAAATTCTTCAATCATTATCTCATAATTACAGGAAAATAACAAATCGTCAACATACAAGGCAACAATAAGAATTGACATACCTTGATTTTTCACATATAAGGTTGGCTCACTCTTGCTCTTCTTGAAACCCTTGTTGATGAAATAGAAATTAATTTGGCTATGCCATGCTCTTGGAGCTTGCTTTAGCCCATACAATGCTTTCTTCAATTTATACACCTTGTCTTCATCTCCTTTCATTAAAAACCCTTGGACTTGTTCAACATACACTTCCTCTTTCAATTCTTCATTTAAAAATGCAGATTTAACATCAAGTTGATACAATGACCAACCTTTTTGGGCTGCTAAAGCAATGAGAGCTCGAATGGTGTCAAGTCGTGCAAGCGGTGCAAATGTTTCTTGAAAATCGATTCGAAGCTGTTGTGTGTACCCTTTTGCGACCAGCCTTGCCTTGTTTCTTTGGAATGAACCATCCGAATCCAACTTTACTTTATAAATCCACTTCACCCTAATGATTTCCTTACCTTGTGGTCTTTCAACCAATTCCCATGTGTTGTTCTTCTCAATGACTTCAATTTCATCTTCCATTACTTTCTTCCAAGCTTCCTCTTTAATTGCTTCTTCAAAACTTCTAGGTTTCGCTACAGAAAAATTGCATCTAGCATACACATCACTCAAACTCCTCAAATTTTTTAGAGTTGAGCTAGGTGAGGATGAATTAGAATTTGAGCTTGAACTTGGAGAAGAGCTGGAAGATGATGATGAACCTGTCCTTGGTGAGGATTGGTGTGAATCTTCATCATTTTCATCATCATGTGTTGAATTTTCTTTCTCCTCATCAACTAGGACATATTGCTTCTCAATTTTACCTTCTTTCCAATTCCATGAAGCATTCTCATCAAATAACACATCTCGGCTGATTATTTTCTATTTTTTCTTCAAGCTATACAATCGATAATCCTTGAATTTGCTGTTATATCCCACAAAGATACAATTCTCACTTGTTTCATCTAATTTGCTAATTCTTTCCTTTGGAATTTGAGTATAGCAAACACATCCAAATACTTTGAGATGTTTTACTGATGGCTTTCTCCCACTCCAAGCTTCTATGGGAGTTTCGTTCCAAACGGCTTTGGTAGGATACCTATTTATCAAGTACACTGTTGTGTAAACAGCTTCAACCCAAAAACTCTTTGGTAGCCCCTTTTCATGCATCATAGATTTGGTCATTTCCATCACTGTTTGATTCTTTCTTTCGGATACTTCATTTTGTTGTGGAGTATAACCCACTGTTAGTTGCCTTTCTACACCTTTATTTTCACAAAATTTTTCAAACTCCTTAGAGTTGTATTCTTTGCCATTATCACTTCTCAAAGTCTTTATGTAGTGCCCACTTTGCTTTTCCACCATGCTCTTGAATCTTTTGAAAATAGTGAAAACTTCGTATTTCCCTCATAAAATACACCCATGTCATCCTTGTATAGTCATCAATAAAGAGAATAAAGTACTTGTTTTGGGCATGCGAGGGAGTTCTCATAGGCCCAAACATCCGTATGAACTAACTCTACATTTCTTTGGCTCTCCATGCAACTCCTTTAGGAAAAGGTTGCCGATGATGCTTCCCAAGTGCACACCCCTCACAAACATCATGTATTTCCTCAATACTTGGAAGTCCTTGGACCATATTCTTTTGGTGAAGTACTTTGAGACTATGAAAATTCAAATGCCCAAGTCTTCTATGCCACAACCATGATTCATCATTCGTATGAGCTTTCAAAGAAACATTTCTAGCATAGTTGAATGTGAGTGGGAAGCTTCGATTATTTTCCATTGGAATTTTTTCCACCACTTGCTTTGCATTTCTGTCATGAATGGTGCAGCTGTTAGCTTCAAAATGGACTGCATATCCATGTTCCACAAGTTGTTCAACACTTAGCAAATTTTCCTCCAAGTCTGGAACAAGCAACACATCATGAATAAACTTAGCCCCCTTCTTTGTTCCAACTCTTATGGTTCATTTTCCCTTTGTATTTACTAACACTTCATTTCCCATTTTAACTTGAGAGCAAATTGAAGTGTCCATGTCCAAGAAAATAGACTTATCACCTGTCATATGATTGCTACACCCACTGTCAAGGTACCAAACATTATTTTTGTGTTCTGAAGCTGCTTGACAAGCATAAAATAAGTTTCCTTCTCCGTCTTTCTCCTCTGAAAAATTAGCTTGTTGATTGCTCTTGACTTCGCAATCCTTTTGGAGGTGGCCAAAATTCTTGCATTTATAACATTGTGGTTTCCCTCGGAACCAACAATCTTTCTTTAGATGATTTCCCTTTTCACAAATTCTGCACTTTCTTGTATTTTCTTCTACACTTGAACTTCTATGAATGTTGTTTCTACCTCTTCCCCTTGATGAATTTCTTCATCTACCTCTTCCTCTTCCTTGTCTACCACCTCTTGATGATTCCCCTCTTGTTTGTTCATTACTTGATGATTCTCCATGACTTTTAGAAATCAAATTAACTTTTGATTAGAATGCACTCTCCAAAGGCTTCTCTGATTGTTTTAATTACCTTTGTTCATGCGCTTTCAAAGAACCCATCAATTCTTGGACACTCATTTTAGAGATATCTTTTGTCTCTTCGATTACCCCTTGATGAATTTCTTCATCTACCTCTTCCTCTTCCTTGTCTACCACCTCTTGATGATTCCCCTCTTGTTTGTTCATTACTTGATGATTCTCCATGACTTTTAGAAATCAAATTAACTTTTGATTAGAATGCACTCTCCAAAGGCTTCTCTGATTGTTTTAATTACCTTTGTTCATGCGCTTTCAAAGAACCTATCAATTCTTGGACACTCATTTTAGAGATATCCTTTGTCTCTTCGATTATTCCCACCATTGTATTATATTTTTCTGGTAAACTACGTAGAATTTTCTCAACAATTCTCTTTTGTTCAACTCTTTCACCATATGAATTCATTTGATTGACAATCTCCATTAGTTTAGAGAAATAATCAGTTAAAGTTTTAGATTCTTTCATCTTCAAGTATTCTAACTCCCTTCTAAGAGTTTCGAGTTTGATGATTCTTACCTTTTTGTCTCCTTGAAATTCTTGTTGTAAAATGTCCTATCCTTCCTTTGATTTCTTGGCTTCAATGATTCTTGGAAACAACTCATCAGAGAGTGCTTGTTGGATGAAGAAGAGTGCTTTAGCATCCTTTTTCCTGGTCTCCTCTAGCTGCTGCTCTTGTGTTGAGGTTAATGTAGTTGTTGAATTGGGTTCATCATACCCATTTTGTATCAAGTTCCATAAACCTTGAGATTGAAATAAGGTCTTCATCCTCACACACCAATAATCATAACTTTCTCCAGCAAAAATGGGCATAGATGGTTGCTGGATACCTATACTTTGATTGCTTTAGTTAGCCATGGAGATTTTCTGCAAAACACACTTTTCTTCTTCACACTCTGTCTATTTTCAGCCCTCTTTTTTGAATCCAAGCTTCCACTTCGAACTAGGCTCTGTGTCACGACCCCATTCCGCCCCTAGTAGAATGGTGCCGTGATGGCCAGTAATCCGGGATTACCGAAGGCTAACCTCCAAAACCCATACACAATCAGAGTATAAACATATATGGGGCTCACAAATATGGAAGCAATAATTTAAAAATACAAGTGGTCCAGAAGAGCAGTGCGTAAGTTACATGGAATGGCATACAACTTTACATAATATTACAACTTGAATACAAGTATAATGAAGTACAAAATACAAATTACATCTTGATTAAAAGGCTTCTCCGGCCGACATGTGTAAATTACAAGCATTATGAGCCGAGAAGCATAATTTTCAAGACTGCCGACATGAATACAAGTTAGGCTGACATAACAAAAACCCAAAACAAGCTTGTGAGTCACACCTAGGCGTCACCGCCTTCCTGCTCATCACCTACATATATATATATATAGAGGGTGAGCTTGGATACTCAGTGAATGGTACAAGTAATAAAGGGGATTGTGCTACAAATGCTTATAGTCCCCTAGCACGTACGGACTTTCAAGATTGTGCTACAAATGCTTATAGTCCCCTAGCACGTACGGACTTTCAAGATTGTGCTACAAATGCTTATAGTCCCCTAGCACGTACGGACTACAAAGATTGTGCTACAAATGCTTATAGTCCCCTAGCACGTACGGACTTTCAAGGATTGTGCTACAAATGCTTATAGTCCCCTAGCACATACGGACTCTCAAGGATTGTGCTACAAATGCTTATAGTCCCCTAGCACGTACGAACTTTCAAGGATTGTGCTACAAATGCTTATAGTCCCCTAGCACGTACGGACTTTCAAGATTGTGCTACAAATGCTTATAGTCCCCTAGTACGTACGGACTTTCAAGATTTCCAAGATCAAAGCTAATACTTGATACACAAATAGGGATAGTCATTCATGCTTAGCAAATACTTTTCAAAACAAAGCAAAACTTTATAACGTAGCTTTATCAAAAATACCACTCACCTAGTTTTTCAACGTCGGGGTCAAGCGAGAGTTCAAGTCCTACAAACACATGGCAAGGTCTATTGAATGCACTTTCAAACAAGCTCATATGCATACAGATGATCTCGACATCCTTCAAAACTACGCTAAGTCAAAACAAAACACTGTTTCTCATCTCGGAAAAACATGCTGGGCGATAACCAGGTCTAGGCCGAGGTCCCACACCTCATTGCCGAGGTGTTTCCTTGATGGCCACATTCAAGGAAATGCGGTCGGGAAAATCTGGGTTTCCCTCTCTTGAAGAACATGACGAACATGAAGAACATGGACATGAGGAAGATGAATGCAAAGATCAAAACTTGCTATTACAAAAGCTGAGATTTCATGTTATGAATTCAAAAACATGGACCTGGGTACCCATACTCGAAGATCCTATGAAACAAACACAAAAGCATGAATCTTAATGCAAACTTTCGGATCAAACAAGGCTTTTATTCAAGAACACATGAATACTACTTTCTCTTTCTAAAACCAAACTTTCAATCAATGCATGGCTTGCAAATCAGGTTCGATCATGCAATGCAGCTAGATGATTAACAAGGACTACAAGAGTAGGTCAAGAATCTAACCTTAATACACGAATCTAACGGTTAGATCTCTAGGAATCAAGCTCGAAGATCCACTCCTCCACTCTAAAACTCCTTCTTCCTTCTAGAGCTTCTCTCTCTCAAGGCAAAGATATGATACAAAATGATAGGTTCTACTTACTGTCGGCTGATTTAACATTTAGCTCAGACACGTGGCAACGGCTGGTTGGTTCTCCCCGAAGAGGAGGCTGACAAACCAGACAAAGTATGGCGAAAGGGTGTTTAACAAGTAAAGCGGCATGGCATTCTGACAAGGTACTGACATCGGGTGAAAACATCGGCTCTGGTAGGTGAGGTACCTATGATCCCGGCTAGGACGGACAACACTTGGCCTAGCTGTGCCACACCTCGGTCTAGGTCGCACCAATCCGGAACAAGATCACTTGGGTTCAAGGATAACATCTCGACCTAGATGATACACCCCTCGGCCTTGATGATACACCTCAGCCTAGAAAATGACATCTCGGCCAATATGCCAGAACGAAGGTAGAGGTCAACCAAAGTGGTTTCAAGGTGGTTCTGGCTTTAAGGTGACCTCGGCTAGACTCACCAGAAAGAACAAGACTCAACAAGTAAATTTCACATAAGTACAAACCAAGACAAAAATCTCATTCTAGTTAAGACAAGTCAAGAAAATTCACTACTGCAACTTAGCAAAACAAGATTATACAAATGCTCATGCCCGAGGCTAAGGTGGGGAATGAGGGTCACTACACTCTGATACCACTTTATGTTGGGTGTTTTGGAAGCAAATGTGTGTTGAAACTACAAAGGAATCAATCTATAACACACAAAATCTGATCTGATTTTTTCTGCAGAAAAATAGAGAAAAAGAAGAGCCAAAACAGAGAAAAAGAGTGGTCAAAACTGAATAAATAAAACCCAAGTTAAATCTTGCATTAGTTCATAATAGCATTCAAATGCTACCACATGGATAAGTTCAACTATTAGAGTGACAAGATACTTCAAATCACACCATGGATAGCAAGCAATCATCCAATCCGAGCCTTGAAGTGGGGGTAATTTGTAGACACTTAAATTTTTACGTGTCTTGATCACCATTTAATTAGTTAAGATAAATAAACTTTTCTCGATTAGTCAAAATTAAGATGGCCAAAGTTTTAAAATGGATGTGAGCCCTACCAAAATTATGGATTTCAACACATTTAAATTATGGATCATACCAAAGGAGAAGTAAACCTATCTTGATGATTAAGTGTAATATCCTGACCCTCGTACATGTTTTCTGGTATGCTTTCAGTCCCCTATTCTGTGCATTTATATGCTTATTGTGAAACTTCATGTGAAATTAAGTTTAATTAAGTGAATCTTATGATTATAGATTCATATCTATCTAATAAGAGAAATATCTATTACAATTATAATGTTTGGATCAGAAATTGAAAGCCTTAGAAGCTTAATAATCTGAAATTGACTTCATATTTGAGTTCAGCATAATTTTTAGATCATAATATGATTTTCTGTAAAAAATTGATTTGGAATGATTAAACTGATTAAATTTCATCTTATTCAACCTTGCTATATCTATATGTTTCATTGAACATTTGACTTAGAAGCTTTCACACAAATATCCCCTGAGAGAGAGTGGTAAGAGTAGAGAGAAAGGATCAAGATGCGAGCTTCATCAAACAAGATAGTTGGAACTTGAGAAGAATTTGAGAGAATTAAGCTCAAGGTATGTTTAATTCACCTTGTACAACCCTTTTCTTAGAGTTGGGTAAGAATTCCCTTTTCATTCATACCACCTAGGGTTTGTAATTGTGATCTTGTGTGTGTATGTTGGTTAATTGGCAAGATAATCTTATCTTTTGATTATTTTGACTTAACTTGAACTATCTAGTGGGAAATTACATCTTATTTCCTCTATTTTCATGTTTGAATTCAACTATGTAGATAGATGGCTATATAGGTATATATATGTGTGAATAGTTAGAAATATAAAGAAATTGAGTTGAGTTTATGAGTTTAAGGAATCAAAGACCTAATTGATCCTATGATCCAAGTTAATGTATCATCACATCACTATATTGTGTTAAATTCCCTTATTTTGTGCCTTATATTGAATTTGCCAAGTTGAAGAGTTACTTGAAATCGAATTGCACAAAATAGGGTTCCGACCGCACGTGCGGGAGCACTGCCGCATGTGTGGGGCTCACTGCCGCACATGCGGAAAACAAGGGATTTTGGGATTTTGGCTACTGGAATAAAAGCACGTGCGGGGCCTCACAGCCGCATGTGTAGGAACCACTGCCGCACGTGCGGGCTCACAGCTGCATGTGCGGCCCATGCTGAAAAATTCTGCCTGCTCCGTTTTACGTGTTTGACCCTCTGGTGTTATTAAAATTTGTATTTGATGCCTTTACAATGTTTGTAAATTCATTCGAAGTGAAACGAATTAGATATTGTTTAACCAGCGAAATGGACTAATTCCTGAACTGCGTGTGTATGTAGGGCACATACCAGAAGGAACTGCCGTTCCACCACAGCACTGTGAGTAATAGTACTGTAGTAGTACATTTTACTTATTGCTAATGATTGTTATTAGCACTCTGTTAATCGCAAGTCAACTGTGTTAACTTATGTGAACATTTGGAAGAATATGTGTACGTCTGTATGACTTTGAGACTAGTCTATTTTGTTGATATCTGGGCCTAAGGCCAATTTGTGAAATCTGTTGGGCCTAAGGCTAATCTGTAAAATCTGATGGGCCGAAGGCCGTTCTGAAAATATTTACAGAATATGATTTCTACACCTGTGTACGTTATAATTCAGATTTATTCATTGAATCATTTAAGTATTATTATTCACTGAGCTTCGCTCACTCCGTCTTATGT